CTTCCAGAGTCTTTCCAGAACTCATTTTCCTGTGATTCTATGAATCTAAGGTTTTACTATGATCTAAAAATGATACACAAGAAGATCTGTCCAAAGCCCCTGACTCTTGAACCCTCTGGGACCCTAACTTTGTTATGACTTATTCATCTTGCTCCCCCATTACCTTTCTGTCCATCTCCACTGATTCTTCTCACCAGGTCTCTGCTATATGCACCTCTTAAAAGTAGAATGGATTTCTACATCCTTGGGTACAGCTATACCTCTGCCTTATCTTCCTGCCCTCCTTTTCAGTTCTCTCTACTTCTGGCCTCTTTTCCTCTCTCTTCTTCAATTTGCCCTTTTGCCTTCCTGCAGAAATCCAAACATGCTGGACTGAAGCTCAGATGAGCAGCCATTTTATTTTGATCCTATATTCATAGAGAAGCAAAAAAATATAGCATGAGTTTTTTTCCCCAAAGCTCAGCCCTTTCCTACACCCCCAGAGGCATCTCTTTATCCAGATTTACACTGCTCTTTCTGATTAAATCTCTCAATATCTATCTGATGTCCCGCCACTCTCTAACTGCCCAGCATTTCTCATCTTGCCAGAGCTTCTATTTGAAATCTCCACCAGGAGAGGGGGGCCTTTCGCCTTTGTAGAGAAGAACTGGCATTTCTTAAGCCGGTGTTCTTTTGGTGTCTACTGCAGTGGAATAGTCAGACTTCATAGCTTTCTCCAGCTTGCAGTAGGGAACAGAGTAAACAAAACAAAACAACAGCAACAAAACAGATGATGTTTCCTTTCCCAGAGAGTTCTGCCATTCCAAACCTGTGTCAATGTATAGGTGCCCAAACTGCCAGAAGTCTCCTCAGATTCCTTCCTGCCAGCACACCAGAGTCTGCTTGGCAAACTCCCCTAGCCTCCTTCATAGTTTTAAGATTATGAAAGGGCTTCTGATGGTTTTGTTTTGCAGTGTGTATGTGTGTGCATGTGTGTGTGTGTGTGTGTGCATGTGCGTGTCTGTGAGCTTGAAAGGCATTGTCCTGTGGATATTTTTATAACCTGAAGCAATTACAGCTGTCAGCCCAGAGACAAGCTGTGACAAGTTGATTTATGTGTACAGTATATGTGTATGCACGGAAGGAAGGGAGGAAGGAGAGGGAGATGGGAAAAGAAGGTGGAGGTGGTGCTCGTTAGGAATCTGCTTTCCAGGAGGCATAGAGGAAGTTGTTTCTATAAAGAACACAAATAATGAAATTGCTCTGGCTGTCATCCCCTTTTCATTAACTCAGATATGCTGGGGGAAGAAAAAATAAAATAAATCCAGCAGTTTTTTGTTATGAACAAGAGACAGGCTATAAGATAAGCCACTAAGTATTGGTTATATTTAGGGATTAGGGATAGGAAAGCTATTGACAGCTGATTTGATCTCCATCTTTTTCAAACCACTTCAATAGTAGGCTGGAATAAAAACCATTCTGTCTTTTTAATTGCACAGGCATCTCTGACCTTTCACTACTTTCTTAACTGCCATTTATGAATAAAGTTTGGGTTCCTGGGCCTACCAATGAGATCGGAGGTCATAGGTAGCTGTTCTTTGCTCACCCTGAGAGTTTCCTGAGGCCTGTTGGGTTTTCTGCTGGCAACTATTGGGATGCTGTAGGTCCACACTTTTCCTCACTGCCGGGGAGAAAGATACAGCAGCACAAAGATACAGATCAAGTGTGTACAGACCTGTGTTAACTGCTTATAAGAATTATCTTTCCACCTAGCCATAACAAAGAAGCAGTGGCAGAAAGATATGTAGTAATAAACCATCTTCTATCATAAATGGATTTCTAAGTATTTTCCTGTGGAATTAATCATGTATGTGGGCCCCTAGGGAGGGCCTGTTGGTGTCATTATCCACATTCCTAGATGCAAAATCTATGCTCATTTGTCCCTACATGGGAATTAGATGCAAGGCACAGAATCAGAATAGATCATCAAAGGAATCACCCTGGCCATTCTCAGGTCTGTAGGGAAATGATGCCAAAGCCCAGAATGAGCCTCCCTCTTTTCCCATGACTAGGATTTGTTACCATTTGAATGTGCTGAAGAACAGAGGTTGTGTTGGGAAAGAAGGAAAAATGGTTGAGGCATTTGTAAAGGTACCAGGTAGATAGCCCCAGAGGTCCATGGCTTTTCCTGAGAATTTAATACCACTGAAAATCACCAGAGGAGATGGGGGAAATAGGTGTACTGATGACTTAAGGCAAAAGCTTTGGAACCTTCAGTGTTAAGTTGCTCAACTTTGCATGATTGAGTACTACATGATCAACTATTAAGGAAGAGATACAGCCAGGCACTTGTGGCTCATACCTATAATCCTAGCTATTCAGGAAAATCCTTGAGGATCCTGCCAACGTGGGCAGACTGTGAAACTCTATTTCCAATTAACTGCAAAGTGCTGGACTGGAGGATTGGCTCAAGTAGTAGAGTGCTAGCCGTGAGCCAGCAAACTGAGTGAGCATAAGATCCTGAGTTGAAACCTTGGAACCAGCAAAATAAATAGTCATTCATAAATTAAAAGGCAAAATGTCTCAGCCTCCTTTTGTGATCTCTCCAGAGATGAGTGTTGTCTTGTTGGCCATAGTAGTCAGTGTGAGGGTGATATGGTGGGTGGAGCTTGCTTGCATCATCCTTAGCATATTAATTGCATGCAAATGATTGATACTACTTAATGGTGGCAATGTTCTATTACTTGTAGTACCAGAGTCTAGGCAGGCAGTTACAGTAGTTTATTTATAACGGTTCCATCTCTGGTGCTGGATGGTTTTGGGGAAGAACATTTTACTGACCTTTTTTTTAATGTAATGGCATCATGATTGAATTTGACAGAAGGTACAGGGTGGAGGGTGGGGGGAACTCCAAAGCCATAGTAGCCTCCATTTTTGGCCCCAGGAAGAATTCAGATCAGTGCTACCAGCTAAATCTGAGAATCCCTGAGGAGGACGCCTATCAGTTAGGTCTGCTGGGGCAGCTAGTCTGTGAATCACAAGAGTGCACAGGCCTGAGTCTTAGAAGAGGAAGACTGCATTCCAACAGAGCTGAAACTAACTAGAAACCATAGTGCAGGCACAGAAGGCCAAGCAGCAGACAGAGGGAAGAAGAAATAGGCACAGAGGCACCTCCAGCCTTTTTCTGAATAAAAAAGCCACACCTCTTATTGATGAAATTAGCTGCCAGCATGTGAAAACCAAAACACCTGCAAATCTGCTATACACCCTTCCCCATCTATCCCAATGTACTTATAGTTGGCTGAATTTATCTTATTGCATTTTTAATCTTCAAATGGCTGTACACGAGGGTTACAAGTTAATGTGTTCCTGTATGTCCGGTGCATTTTGATTAGTGTTATCCTCTCTTTAGCGTTGTTCCCAGCCCCACCCCCACACCTTTCCCACCTCCAAAGTCTTACCACATTTCCCACTTCCTTTTTCACTCAGGTACCTGGAGTAGTTCGAATGAATCTCTTGTTCCCTTTTCCAATCATCCACCCCCTTCTGCCAACCACTCCCTTTTCAAATTCTGTTCCAGCTTCCTAATATTCATTTAATGGCCACAAATCATGAAATGTAAGAAAGTCACTGTTGAACGTGTCCTACATTTTCTTGGTTTTTGCCTGGTTCACGTACTAAGAGCATTCTGTGATTTTTTTTTAAAATTTTGTATATGGAGAACATCTAGAACGCTAGTGTTGGGTCTGTAGGATTTTAAGCATCTTCTTTGTGGGGGGGGGATGGGAGGGCTGAAAAAGGGAGGCGTACTATGGAATAAAAATGAGATTATATTAAAACATCATCCAGACATTCTAAATTTACTCTACATGCTAATAGAATTAATGCGATCATTTAAAGGCGCACGTATGGATGCTGCAGGGTCTTCCTTTTCCTAGTTAATTACTTTGTGACCCTATTAAGACGTCTCAGGCTTATTAAGACGGCATGCTAACTTTGCCTTCGCTTTTAAATTTGGAAGTGTCGGCTCTTCAAGGGTTGGGGGCAATAGTGAACACTCCCGGTCAGGGCCGGTACACCTCCTCTGCCCGGCGCGGCGGGGGTTAAGGTGGGCGCCAGCGCCCCG